GAATGCCAGTGCCACCGTTTCGCACGTCAAAGGATAGGACGAGTACCTGGCCGTGTGGACTTGTTCCTTGACTACAGCTTGGTAGCTGGGGCTGTTTGCTCGGAACCTCCGTCTCGACGACTGCGGCTCCCTGTCTGCACGATTCAGACCAGACGAGGTACAGCTGCTTCTACAAAAACAGGCATATATGCATCCTGGTAAAATAGATAATTTACCAGAAAGAAATAAGAAAGGTTTATTGCAATGCACTTACCACAGCTTTGCACACCTATCTCTTCAGGTGAAATTCATCTAACTCATTATGAAACACAAAACATCTCCCCTATTCTACCTTCATCTGCAACTCTAAATTCAATATTTTTCTCACTGTTCCACGCCTTAAATCTTTTTATCGCAATGAATATACCTGAGTATTGGAGACAGGTGTCTTCTGGTATCAGAAGCAGAGTCTACATTATCATTGCAACTGCCGTCTTTTACTGAATCCTTCGCCGATTCCTCGTGTACAATGCTTTTGCTATGTGCTCTCCCATTTTCCTTTACAAAATCTGTAATTTTACAGATTAATGTGGAAACTAGGCCCTCTCCAAGCAACTCCTGAAAAAAAAAATGCAATGCAGCAAAATTGTCAGTCCCTTCAGCACATGTAATTACTATTACTTTAAAATTGCCATCTTACGCAGTTTGTGAAAATAATGGAATCTGCACGGACATATTCCTCTTATTCCCACGACTATATAATTAAGCATGTTTAATTTGAACATTTGACACAAACAGTTAAAAAAATAACTCCAAAGAATGGCAGCAGTGTCATTTTCACGTCCAACAATCACCAAAAAGAATCACCGTATGCCTGTTCAAAAATTAAGTGACATCCAGCAACCAAAACTTGCAAAGATATTGGCAATATGAAGTCATATCTGATGGATAATGTGTCAGTTCAATTTTACACACCTTTCCTCATTAGCAACTTGATACAATCCCTCTCACTATAATGAACACATCCTACAGCCAGGTACGCAGTACAGGTAGCCCTCGATTTACGCCGGGGACGCGTTCCTGGACGAACCGGCGTAAATTGAAACTCTTTTATAATGTAAATCAATGGGAAGTCAATGACATGCGTTCCCAGCACCAAACATTGACGAGTAAAATAATGGCATTACATTTAAAGCTCTGAAATAACGAAAATAAAATAAAGGGAATTTAAAAAATATATTTTATACACTTACAATCGGCACGAAACCAAATTAAATCACTCTTACCTGCAAACTTTTCTCATCATACATGAATTGTACAAGAGCATTAACAACAGAAGACCGCAGTGACGCCACCGAGGAGTTACGAATAATCCTGAGCATCAATGGCAATCCGCCTCCGTGCCGTATCTTGGCACGATTCACAGATTCACGACACAGGTTACACAGTGCCAGCACCATTTCAGTATGAAATTCTGTCCAGAAGAAACAACTTTATAATTATTTGCATGATTCAGAATCCACTCTGACCACCATTCCTATCAGTCAGCCATCAAAGGCACTGCCAAAGAACTAAGCAGGCCACGTGCAGAATCTTAAAATAATTTCAAACATGCAGATCGCCACTCACCTGTACTGTCCTGCTGATGACAGGAGAGTTCCCTGATTACGATTTTCACGGTCCCAACGTTGCCCAAAGCTGGTCGGGAACTGGTCGCGTGACACAGATTGCATATGCATTCCAGTGCCAAATATTTCAGGCTAGGGTATGCAACCAGGGACATCAGATGTTGGAAGCCTGAGCCACTTCCCTGAACCTGAAAGGAAAAGGTCAAATGAAAAGAACAAAAACACAGTGACGTGACCACGATTAACAAGCACTGACATAAAGAAATTAAAAATGTATTAATATTATTGTTGTTGTAGTTATTATTATCACACCCCTTGCTAAATTTTTTGTTATGTATGGTCTATTAGTACGTTAATGGTTTGTTTTTCACATTTTCCTACTAAAATACAGTTCAATATCTCATGGCAAACCAGACCATGTGTTGCTGTAAAATTTCCATAATTTCTTTATTAAAGAATAGTTCAACAATTTCCAAAGCGTCAACTGTGCCCTTTTATGAACTCTGTAGCCCAAATCCACCAGTGAAAAGTTTCTCTGTCTTCTGTAATTTGATATGTGTTCCCAATCAAAATCTCTTTAGCCTCTTTCCACTAAACTTCCATCATCAGTGTCTATATCTAATGAACTTTCTTTCAAATTGCTAGTTTGTAATTTTCTGCCAGCTACTGCTGTGACCACTGCCACTCAAAAAGACCCAAAAACTGCAAAACAGAAGCGCAATCTGAATTTTGGACCCTCACAGCAAACAGTTCCACAACACCTTACCTGCTGAGCACATTCTTCAGAACAGCAGCTGGTAAATGCTGCCAGGGCTTTAACGACTTCCAGCAACAAGTGCTGTTCGCCTACGCTCTCCTGATTGCCTGGCAGAAGCAGAGCAACAGCGTGCACCACACGGCAGTTCAACATCTTCTCTCTCTGACTTGTCACTTTCCACAGCATTCTAGCAACAAAGACAAAGAATTTCATCTCAAGTGAGTGAAATACAGACAGCTGTAACTGCAACTCTCACGAAGATTTTCTGCTGTAATAACAATTCTTTTCAATCTGCAGCAACTCATTCCATTTAAAATGATTCATATTGTATGACTTTAAGCCACACTCTCAAAATTAAATATTAATTAGCCATAACTGATAAACTCCAAAAATGCAAAAGTGGTCAGCCTGATTAGCAGGTATAAACTTGATGCTGTTAATAGCCAGAAAGGAGAAATAAGATATATTTGTATGATTAGTTCAGCTGTACTACATAAACAGTTGTATTTTAAAAGATATCATGTCAGAAACATTACTGATCCTCAAATAAGACTGAAGCCATTACAAGAAAAGTAAAAGTATATTTTCACTCTGCATAGTGCTTTGGGCAAAGCAGTAGTAAATGTCCAGAGCTGGTGTGCAATACGTTAAGAAACACAGACATGCATAACTGTAAGCTAATAGTACAAAAAATAAAGTAAACGAACCTGAGGGCTCGTACCGCCATCTGTCTCGTAGCAATTGAACTACCAGAATCCGTATCCAGCAATGCAACAATGGAAGGTGTAATATTTTCATTGTGTAGCTGCTCAGCAAAGCAAAGTTCTTGGGCCAAGTTCCCAACCAAACGGCAGGCTCGACACTGAATACTGTCTCTTGAAATATTGTGGATGATTGAGGCAAGTGGACTCACAATTCCATAACTGACTACCTGCATAATAAATCTTGATCAATGGTGTATCTTGGCAATGAACAGATATGTTTTAATAATCACCTCTTTTTTTTATTCCAAGAAAGCACTACTCATATAACAAGGACTTTAATCCTTCACCTCCTCCCTCCTATAAATTATGACTCAACTTTAATTATTTTTACATCTGAAAGCACTATTGTTTTAATGGGCACAAGACCACAAACTCTGACTAAACCAAAATAATCATAAATAACATGATCTTCAATAGCACATATGAACAAACACTTACTTCGTTCCTGCAGTCATTGTCTAAACAGCAATTGCCCAAAATACTCAGAGTCACATCAAGGATCTTCTCATTTGGCTTACGCAAGAAATTCACAAGTTCGTTTAAAATGTTATTTTCCTTGAGTATCTTACATCCTTCTTTAGTTTTCATTATATTTGATCTTATTCCCACAAGGCCATCATATGCAATGGAGGAAGACGAGGATTTCAGTTTTAAGAAAATATGTTTATCTTTGTTAATTCCTTGTGCCATCATCGCTCACAAACCACCCAATTCGAAATCCTTTTTATGATACACAAAATATTAAATTTGAATAATTCCCATATCGTTTCCAATGTAGCGGTCGTATTTATGCATATGATGCGATGGAAATGGCTTCACAGTTTGTTTCCAAACGAAATGTAAATATAAGCAGCTCATCCATCTTGCTGAAACAAAAGAACATAATACATTTACCTTAAATCTTATACTTTCAGCAAACGGAGCATTTATGTAAAACATTAAATTAATAGTTACATAAAATTTGCTTACCACGTACCTAATTACTCTTCTTCTTCTTCTTTTCACGATCACAGTGCTGTCAATTTGCAACAAGAAAGTATCTTTACATCATTGTAGTTCACTTTACGCGGATGTGTTCGTGTCCACTCATATCTTCTTGAACAGTTAATTCCAAAGTACACGATCTCAGCTGTTTTTTGTGTTGTTTTGTTTGAAGTTCCTTAGTTACATTTTATGTTCACAAAATTTACCATGCCCGACTGCCAAAAGCAGACTACATGACTTTAGTTTTCTGAAATGCTTATGACGTGCCATCAAATCCTATTTGCTAAACGTAATGTAAATTCGTACATAACATTACGCATCATACTTTCTGGGTTACAATACATTTTTCCTCTGAAAAATACTGCCTCAAATTCCAAAGATATAATATGGCTTTCCCAGAGGTAAAACGTGATTAATACCAGGGATGACCGAACTACGTCTCCTGGGTCAGATGATTCATAACAACTTACTCCGGGCCACACCTATAAACATGTTTCCGTTTGTCTCGAAATAAAATATTCTCCCTGGTAAATTGTAAAGTTTCATGATCAGCTCTACATCATACCTTGGCCACATGGGATGGGAATACAATGTTGTATCAAAAACATATCTTACACAAAATAATATTGCTTGGTGAACTACTTAATTATCAGAGTAAAACCTCCATGCCATACCACCAGGCAATATTTCTGCTGGTGCCAATTGTCTGTAATCCCGGAACTAGCACTAATCTATGAATCATTAAAACTTGTAGGCACCAGTAACTCTTAAATATTGGAAATGCAGATTTGTTGAAAACCAAGTTGTCTGGTAGAAGTTTGGTCCTCGTCACCTCCATCTTCAAGGCAATGGAGGCATCAAGTAGCTCTGAAATGTTGGTAAACTTCTACCAGATTATATGGCATTACAACCCGCAAGACAGCCATCTTCATACTTGTTGCCATGAGGACCTCAAATGCAATTTATTACAGATTAATGTTGCAATTTGAAGACAAATGACTGAATGATGGACAAATTCAGTTGAGAAAGCCAAAGTAACAAGGACTGGCAGCCACAATTTTAAACTAGTTAATATTTTTATAAACTTCAACTAGCAAGAGATTTTATATCTCTCACTTGAATTAAAGAAAGTGAATCAGTAGTAAATGAGCAAAATCAATATTTCTGTGATTTACCAAAAAATATGGAACCCACATTAAAAGTAGGAAACTGGGCAGAATGGAGAAATTTGGTCTCTGGTGATGTATAAAAACTATTTCATTTAAAAGCATTCTCAAAAATTCTTGCTTGTATTTCTATTTTCTTTTCCATTTTTACAGTAAAAACACAGGCAAGCTGAACATTTATGCTCTCAATTTTACCACATCGTTGTGGCTGTGATTAAATTAAACATGTTAACAATATTACTGGAGCGACACAACCATAAAGGTTAAAAAATGGATTGCAATGTTACATTCCTATTCTATTTTCACTTTCTATGAGATTCAGGAAGAACCCATCCTGGAGTATTGGACAGTACAGCCACATGAAGGTTTAGTACCAAGCAAATGGTACATCACTTTGTTACCTTGTTTCATAATACCAAACAGCATACATAAAGCCACTTTCTTCATATGAAAATGTCTCTCAGTGGCATAAGATCATTTACTTCAGCCATAAAATTCTATGTACTGAATAAAACTATAATTATATGAGCATGCTTCTCAGTTGGGGCAAACTAGTATTTCTAAAATTTGGTATACTAGTAAGGGCAAAATTTCTGTCACATGCAGATATGAAACAATGCACTGGCCTCAAATTATTACAGAAAGTCTTCTTACATTCAGTCACTCTTGATGTCTCATGATTGCAAAAAATTTGGCGTACTGTTTTAACAGTACCAAAGGCTTTATACGGTATAACCAAGCAATGTTGAAGCGGCAATAATAAAAAGGTAAGAATAATGGCAACTTAGTTATTACAAAGTATTAACAAGTTTAAAATATCAAAGTGTATGTAATGAGAAATTAACTGATATCTTTTTGTGTTTGTTGCTCTAAATCTAAACATTTCAGCCCGTGATAAAAATTTGTTTTCCTGAATTCTTGTATTACTAGCACAAATTAATAAAATAAATACTCTACAATGTTAACAGTAAGATGTTTACCTCAAAATCAAAGAACTTACAGCCACATATTACATCTTACAGTATTTAACAACATTCGCTGCTTTGAGAACTGTACGCTGAGTTTTACTACCCAGTGAAGTTTCTATGTGGACTATAGTCTTTTGGATTGTGGTACCATGTTCCGAGTTCACACGCATGAAATTCTATTTTCAATTTGAATGACACTGGTAGAAATATACTAAAGGTACAAATCTATTAAAACGTTATTATTACTTATCAATGCTGAACAAAATAAATAACAGAAAAAATATTTAACTGAATTACTGGCAAACCAAGTCATGTCCCTATATAGCAGCTGCATAAAATGGCCCACTGCACAGGCATCACAAAAGTATACAATATACACGCTAACAAAACACAATTGTAACAAATAATCCATATAATTAGAATCAGGAAACTCTAATTACAGAAATTAAAACGAGACAACAAAACTGTCTACTGTCACAGTACAATTTCAGGTGCCTTTCCCATGCTGGAATATATCCTGAGTAGAAACAAGGCTTACTGTGTTCATAACAGGGGACAAAAGCATTTAATAAAATAAAAGGCAGCATTTTATGTACTAAGTCATGCTACAAGAGCAGAAAAAACAATAACTAATGAAGATTATTGTAAGAGGGTTAAATGCTTGAAAATTTGTCCACAGCATTAAAAAAGATCACATTTTTACGAGGGGAAAAACTGAGAAAAAGTATAATCTAAAAACAGAGCACATGAGCACACATTATAAAATGCGCTTATAGAACCACATGTGTATATACACATTATAAAACATTACAAGGTTGACTGACACCATTAATTTGAGCCACTCTTACTTTGTGCTATCTTCTATTATAATGCAAAGTAATAATTTCACAGATATTTAAATTATTCATAAATAATATTCTTCAATACCTTCTACCAATGAACCAGTCTGTCACCACACAACACAACATAAAACTAAAGAGGCCATAAAAACCAATGGATATACAACTGCAGGTAAATGCGTACAATATCACCAGTTCCTTGTACTATCCCATACACACAACGCAAAAGAATGAAGGGAGAAGTGAATATTTGTAGGGGAGAAAAAAACTCTATCTTCTACGCCCCCCACTGCCACGAACTGGGACGTTACTCAAGCCTCACTGTATTTTGCTGTAGTAAAGTCCCAAGTAGCACACACACACAAAAAGGAGGAAGAAAAAACAAAACATTCGGACAATGTTTAGATGTCACTGCAACCATTTCAATACTATAAAAATCTAAAACATCTTCACAGAATCAACGCTGCCAAGGACAAATGTTGGACCACAGTTAAGAATAATTTACAATATACAAACTGAAGTAAAATATTTTTATATCACCTAAATAAGAGACACAGATCCATTGAAATTAGGAACTATTAAATGTCACACCAGCTAATGCTATGAAACAAATTTCAGTGATCAGGTCTAACTGTGTCCATTGCATTACGCTTGGATTACTGATCTTGTCAAAAGACTCGCACATTATGAGATCACAGATCCTTCACCTCTTCTTCTGAACAACTCCCCTGAGTTTGAAACTGCTATAACACAACACGCGCATTAACAATGTCATAGGATACCCAGAACACAACCAACTTCAAATCTGAAAACTCTGCAAACTGACCTCTGGAATTTAGTTCCAAGCTGCCTTTCTGTTGCTTTCGGTTTTCAGGTTCAGTAGCGCTCCTTTCTTCCAATGATTATGTCCATTTATCATCTGTGCCCGCTACTCTTATTGCTTGAGGTTAATGGTCAGCATTATAACTAATAACCCCACACCAAACGTTTCAAAGTCAAAAACTCCATTAATTTCATAAAATGAAGTATCTAGAGCAACAAACACAAATATCCAACAGTCCACAGATTTTACATTCACATACAGACCCAATACTGTGGAAGGCAGCTGAAAGACATAGTAAAGTAATATAAAAGATCATTTTCTTTTTAGATCCTATTTGCATGGAAATCATACTCATTTGACGATAAGATACTGTTGTAAATACAACCACAAACTCAGAACAAGTGTCTTCAATAACAAATCTGCATGCTTGGAGTAGAAGAAAATGTGTGAGTGCAATGAGATAACACATAATTTGGGAAAGAAACTCTGTGATCTGTCCTTCTTAATCATTTGTTTTTGATAAGCGTGCATCACAGACTTTGTTTTAGACCTTGCCCATCACCCAGCTTTCTTAAAAGTGACATTTTGGAACCAGATTGTCTCCAACTTCAAGCGATGGAAATGTTAATCAGTGCTCTGACTGGGATTGAAAAAGGATACTAGGCCATTTCCAAAATTCCATGCTTTAAGAATGAACTCAGACAATGGATATGGTCTAAGACAAAAGAAAACTGAATAAGAATTATGAATATTCACACTGCCCACTGCTAAAATGAAACAATGACCGAGTAACTCCCTTATAACACATCTTACTTTAGTATCAACCTTCATACCAAATTCAATGCATTACAATTAATTACTGAGATAGAAACATGGTCTTTCCAAAACAAATCTAATACAACTTTCGCCGCTGGCCATTACTAGGGGAGACAAACATATAAGTACCATCTGTTTGGATATGATCATAAATTAAAGCCCACCTGTAGCACATTACTTGTAACAAATTTCTGTAAGGGATGCAAAGTCCCGCTACCCCAGCACTAGCTG